TAAAACCGAGTGGCTGAGCTCACCGTGTTTTTCCCTGAAATAATGTGGACGGCGTTGTAAGGCGACCCCCCCTGGCATGCGGGTGCACATCTCGGGGGAGTATGCTCACACATCACACGTCCTCAAACATCATGTGGGGTTGTGCCTCTAGTTTTGCACTGCTTGTGGTTGGTATGCATCCCAGCAACTAAAGCAGCTAGGTGCAGAATGTAGTGAGGCGGTCAACGGTAACAGAAGGGAGCACCATGACATAATCGCACGAGGGCTCTGGCCTGAAGCCTGCAGCAAAGCCGAGCTGGCCAGAGGGAAGAAGCAGGGTGTGTAGCTGCTTCAATCGTTACCGACATTGTCGCCATACCCAGAACTCCAGAACTCCTCCTCCTCCTCCTCTCCTTCTCTTCCTCCTCCTCCTCCTCCTCCTCCTCCTCCTCCTCCTCCTCCTCCCCCTCCTGCTCCTCCTCCTCCTCCTTCTCCTCCACCTCCTCCTCCGCCGCCGCCTCCTCCTCCTCCCTCCTCCTCATCATCGCTCCCCCTCCTCCTCCTCCTCCTTCTCCTCCTCCTCCTCCTCCTCCTCCGCCTCCTCCTCCTCCTCCGTCTCTTCCTCCTCCTCCTCATCATCATCATCCTCCTTATTCTCCCCCTCCTCCTCCTCATCCGCCTCCTTCTCCTCCTCGTCCTCCTCCTCCTTCTCCTCCTCCTCCTCCCGCCTCCCTCCTCCTGCCTCCTCGAGGTAAGGCTCACCAACTACTACGTAAACTGGATGAGTTCGGACGGGGCGCCCCGGAGCGTCCTGGATCGGCGGCACAGGCTAGGGGCCTCTACAATTTCTAAGAACTGCCGAACACTTCCACCCCTCCCTCCTCGCCCCGACGGTGATATCCGCCCCACCCCCAGTCTCCACCCCCCCAACCTCCTGGACCTCCCACCAGGGAAACAGAAAGCTGCCCCTACCGCGAGTCCACAGACCTCTCCTGGGGAGCGCTCTCACCAGGACTTTCAGGCGAATCCAGCCGTGGAACGAAGGAAGGGCACTCTGGATGGGACAATAGCCCCCGCCCCTTGGATCCGCGGGGGGCGGTGGGGATGTGCTGTGAAACGGGCGGGTGGGGGGGGGCCCTTGACAGATGCCCCATCCAGCGCAGCGGCAACTCGCCCTCACGTGGCCCACCACCTCCGCCGCCGCGCGAGCGAGGGCGCGCACGCGCGCACGCGGGTGGAGGCAGCGGGAGCGGCCGCAACCTGCCAACCAACGAGGCGGGGCGTTCCTCCTCCTGGGCCTTCTTGTCCGCCATGGCCTTCATGCGCTTCGCGGCCTCCCTTTGCCGCTCCTGGGCCTCGTTCGCGGTCTGGCGGGCGGCGGGGGGGGCGCATCCTCCTGTTCCTGTTCCTGTTCCTGCTCCTGTCGGCAAGAGTGTTCGTCGAATGCAGCCCTCAGCATCCTCCTCCTCCCCCTCCCCCTCCACCTCCTCCTCCTCCTCCTCCTCCTCCTCCTCCTGCTCCTCCCTCCCTCCCTCCCTCCCTCCCGGGCACGCTCTCGGGCGCTGTCGCACGCCGCAGAGTCCGCGCCGAGGGCCTGAGGAGGTGGAGGAGGAGGAGGAGGAGGAGGAGGAGGAGGAGGAGGAGGAGGAGGAGGAGGAGGAGAGGAGGACGAGAAGAAGGAGGAGGAGGAGGAGGAGGAGGAGGAGGAGGAGAGGGAGGGGGAGGAGAAGGAGGGTTGGAGAAGGAGGAGGGGGAGGATGGAAGAAGGGGGGGGGGAAGGAGGAGGGGAGAAGGAGGAACATGAGGAGGCGGTGCCCCTTCCCCGCGCCGCGGGCCCCGCGGGCGGCCTCGGAGTACGCGAGGTCCTTGTGCTCCAGCTCCTTGAGCTGGGCCAGCTCGTTGTTGAGGGCGCTTTTCAGCCAGGCCCTCTCGCGGTCCTGTGCGCAGAAGAGCCACCTCCTCCTCCTCCTCCTCCTCCTCCTCCTCTTCCTCCTCCAACAGCAACAACAACAACTCCTCCTCCAATTCCTCCTCCTCCTCCTCTTCCTCCTCCTCCTCATCATCAGCCTCCCCGTACTATAGTGTTAGTAGCTTTCGTCGTCGCCTGATTCTTCTTCCTCATATTAGTAGTAGTATCACGATTACATTTATTGTCAGTACCACTCAAAGTGTTGAAAGAAGCAGCAGTGGTAGTAGTAGCAGCAGCAGCAGAAGCAACAGCAGCAGTAGTAGTAGTAGTAGTAGTAGCAGTAGTAGTAGCAGTAGTAGTAGCAGTAGTAGTAGTAGTAGTAGTAGTATTAGTAGTAGTAGTAGTAGTTGTAGTAGTAGTAATAGTCGTAGTGGTCGTAGTAGCCGTGGTAGCAGTAAAAGTAGTAGTAGTAGTAGTAGTAGTAATAGTAGTAGTAGTAGCAGCAGTAGCAATAGCAGTAGCAGTAGCAGTAGCAGTAGCAGTAGCAGTAAAAGTAGCAGTAGTAGTAGTAGTAGTCGTAGTAGTAGTAGTAGTAATAGTGGTAGTAGTAGTAGCAGTAGTAGTAGTAGTAGTAGTAGTAGCAGTAGTTAGTAGTCAGTAGTAGGCTAGTAAGAGTATTAGTAGCAGTAGTAGTAGTCAGTATGATAGTAGTCGTAGTCAGTAGTCGTAGTTAGTCGTAGTCGTAGTCGTAGTCGTAGTGGTAGTAGTAGGTAGTAGTAGATAGTAGTAGTAGTAGTAGAGTATAGTAGTAGGAGTAAGAGTAAGAGATAGTAGTAGTAGTGGTAGTAGTAGTAGTGTAGTAGTAAGTTAGTTGCTGTAGTCGTAGTAGTAGTAGTAGTAGTAGTAGTGGTAGTAGTAGTAGTAGCAACAGTAATAGTAGTACTCGTAGTAGTAGTAGTCGTAGTAGTAGTAGTAGTAGTAGCAGTAGCAGTAGCAATAGCAGTAGTAGTAGTAGTAGTAGTAGTAGTAGTAGTAGTAGTAGTAATAGTAGTAGTAGTAGTAGTAGTAGTAGTAGTAGAATAGTGGTAGGAATAGGAGTAATAGTAGTAGTCGTGGTTGTATTCGTATCCCTTTTTTCTTATTTAGTCGTAGTCCGTAGTCGTAGTAGTAGTAGTGTAGTTAGTTAGTAGTAGTAGTAGTCGTAGTCGTCGTCGTCGCAGTAGTCGCAGTAGTAGTAGTAGTAAGTAGTAGTAGTAGTAGTAGTAGTAGTAGTAGTAGTAGTAGCAGTAGTAGTAGTAGTCGTAGTAGAGTAGTAGTAGTAGTAGTAGTAGTAGTAGTAGTAGTAGTAGTAGTAGTAGTAGTAGTAGTAGTAGTAGTAGTAGTAGTAGTAGTAGTAGTAGTAGTAGTAGTAGTAGTAGTAGTAGTAGTAGTAGTAGTAGTAGTAGTAGTAGTAGTAGTAGTAGTAGTAGTAGTAGTAGTAGTAGTAGTAGTAGTAGTAGTAGTAGTAATAGTAGTAGTAGTAGTAGTAGCAGTCGCAGTAATAAACTAATAACTCGTTGTACTATGAATATCAACAAGATTAGTATTCTTGTTACTATGAGAAATGGTGTTCGCATGTTTCTTATAATTCTTAATAGTCCGCCTCCTCCTCCTCCTCTTCTTCCTCGTCCTCCTCATCCTCCTCATCCTCCCCCTCATGGCCCTCCCAGCACCACAGCAGGGGCCTCTCCCGATCCGTAGGAGCAGAAGAAGGAAAAACGCCAGAAGCATAAACTTTGGGCGCTCCGCGCGGATTTCTCGGATCTGCACGGGACCCCCTCCTTGGCGCGCGGAGCGCGCCAGAGGCGGCGCCGGAGGCGCCTCCAGGCGGGGCGCAGCGCAGGTTCAAGAAATCCGCGCGGAGCGCTAGCAGTTTATGGTTATGGCGCTTTTTCTTCTTCGATTGTAGGAGGGGCGCGGACCCAAGAAATTCTCGCGGAGCGCCAAAAGTTTGTGTTTATGGAGTTTTTGTTCGTCTTCGATTGTAGGAGGGGGGGCGCGAGAAAAGGGGAGCGGGCACCAAACCTCCACTGCCGGCATTACAGCGCGACTGCCACCACACCGCAGGGGGTCTCTAACGAGTCTTGCCCCCCTGGCCGTCGAGGGGTCCGCACCGTCGTCGTCATCATGTTCGTCCAGTACCTCTTTGGTCTGGTCCTCCTGCCTGCCTTCCTCGTCGTCCTCGCTCCTGCTGCCCTTCCCCCTTCCCGCTCTATCCTCGTCCTCCTCCACCTCCGCCCCGTCCGCGTCCACCTCATTTCACCCATCCCACCCCTCCTCCTCGAATGACCATCCACCACCGTGCCGCGAGGCACGAGCTGGACTGCCCTCAAGCCCCTTGAATCCTCTGGCATCAGTCCGAAGTGAACCGATCGTACCAAGGGCTCCCAACTTCGCGCTTCGCGCTGCGCGAAGCGCGAATAACTTCGCGCCCTCGCGCCGCCCCCCCAAAGCGCCCTCGTGGGAGCCCTTGCGTACGCAGCACCCTCAGTCGCGGGTACCAGTGCGGGGGCGGCGGGACGTCTGCAGCCCGCCGCAGGCGCCTACTTCTGAGAAAAAGCGTATAACGAGCCCGCCGCAGGCGCCGAGTTGTCATGCAAGCAATGTGGTTGGGTCGCGGGGTGGGGCGCGGGGTGGGGCGCGGGGTGGGTCGCGGGTGGGTCGCGGGGTGGGTCGCGGGGTGGGTCGCGGGGTGGGTCGCGGGGTGGGTCGCGGGTGGGTCGCGGGTGGGTCGCGGGGTGGGTCGCGGGTGGGTCGCGGGGTGGGTCACGGATGGGTCGCGGGTGGGTCGCGGGCGACTCGCGGGGTGGGTCGCGGGTGGGTCGCAGGCCGGGTCGCGGGGGAGACGACGCCAAACAAGAACAAACAACAACAAACAACAACAAGAATCCGCCTCGCGGAATCCCACTTCGGCCACGCAGCCAGGGACAATGAATGACCGTTCGGCACCCTCCCTCTGATTAAAGGGCATGGGCACGAAATGTTCAAACTTCCGGAGGCGTGCCGCGATTCCCAGCGTGTTGTCCCGTGACCTTTGCGGAGCCTGGAGGCCCCAAGACGGGCCAAGAGGCCCCCAAGACGGTCCATGAGGCCCCAGAGTCGCCAAACGATCGCTCCACGAAGCCCAAGGGAGGCCTCCAAGACAAGAGGCCCCGAAGAGACCCCCGAGAGGCCAACATGGGTGATTCCCCTAGGTCTCGCCTGAAGACGGCCCAAGAGGCCCCCACGATCGCCCCAATACGGCCCAAAGTGGTCCCCAAGAGGGCCCCCAGAGGGTCCGAGAGGGACCCAAGACTGCCCAAGAGGCCCCAAGGAGGGGCCCCAAGGAGGGCCCCAAGAGGGCCCCAAGAGGGGGCCCGCAGAGGGCCCCAAGGGGGGAGCACGAACGGGCAGTTCGAGCCGTGCGCCTCAAGACGACCTCCGAGACGGCCAGCAGAGGCCGCCCCCAGGAGGCACACATCAGTCCCCAAGAGGCCCCGAAGATGCCCCCGAGAGGCTCCACAAACGTCCCCAAACCGCCTCACAGAGGCTTCCCAGAGGCCTCTCACGAGATCCCCGCAGGGATACAAGAGGCCTCTGACCTTCAACCAAGGCACGGTGGCGGAATGGGCCGAATGCCACTGGACCGCGGGGACGGATGGGCCGAAGGCCACTAGACCGCGGGGACGGAAACACACACAATTTACTTTGTGCTTTGTGATGGCGCGAGACCACTGGCTTGTCCGTTCTTCCCACTCTGACGTCCTGACTTACCCTCGCCCTTGTCGCATCATTGAAAAATCTTGGGGCCATCGTGGGCCGAGTTGTGAGACTCTCGTGCTGTCTTCAGGCCCTCTTGAGCAGTCTCAAGGCCCTTCAAGAGGGAATACAAAACGAATTTAGAAACATAACTGTCAACATGTGATGTTGGATATCGATCAGTTGTTCAAGGGTACCCAGAGCAGAACCGCCAAGGCACTCTTGGACCGATTGGAACGCCCGTTCCCGCTTGGATCGCCCTCTGTCCCCACGTCGCGTTTCCCAACTTGGACCGTCCATCTGTGCTCGGAGCTGTCACAAAGAGAAAATGCAGAAACCCTGTGTTTCACCTGCTTGGACCGTCCGCTGTCCGAATGTAGTGTGCTCCCAATTGAATCGCCCGCTTTCCAGAACCATGCGTTCTCCCCGTTTGGACCTGGGAGTCTCGAAAACCGACTTCGGGCTCTCTTGAGCCGTCTTGGGGCCCTCTGTTGTGCATGTTGGGCTGCCTTGGAAAGATCTCGGCGGCATCTTGAGCCCTCTGGGCCTGTGGGAAGCTTGAAAAAGCGACAAACGCTCAAACACCTAAAAGACATCGCAAACTTGTACCCCCTGAGGCCATCCCAGGGATCCTGTTGTAGCCCTCTTGGGACTTATTGAAGCTTCGTGGGCGTATTTGAACCAAGACCGGGGCCAAGACGACATCGACAACATTTCATTTTTGTATGGATCTGCCTAGCGTGATCGCCATGTTGGGCAATAGCGATGTCGATAACATCTCATTTGTGTGAGGATGTCCGTAGCGAAATCGCATGTTGGGCAAGAGCGATGTCGACAGCATCTCATTTGTGCGAAGATGTCCCGGGCGAGATCGCCATTCCGTGAGCGGAAGTAGAGCGTGGGCGATGCTGGGTCGTCTCGAGGCCTTCCAAGAGCGAACCCACGACATCTCGTTTTTGTTGAGGATGTCTGGAGCGAGATCTCCATTTTGGCTATGGACTCCCTGGGCCCCTGCCTGCCAAGCCCCTCGAAGTTCCCAACGGCTTCGTTTCTTCCAACTACGGCCGGACCTAGGACAAACAAACATCCTTAAAGAGCATGAGGCCCTGCGTCAGCTAAAACACCCAAACTCATAAGACCACCGAGGCGCTTCTTGAAACAAAAACGACCAACGAAACAAAGCAACAGCGCAAAACCTAACGAACAACAAAACAAAGGCACGACCCCAAGCCAAACAGCGCAACCTCCCATCCTCCGATCCTCCGCAATCCCCGCCGGGGCTCCTGCGCCCGGCGCATCTTTGCCTGCTCCTGCCGGAGCCCGTCGCTGTTGACGGCGAGGATGGAGCTCCTCGACACGCCCTTCTCCTCGGCTCGGAAGAGGGCCAGCGGAGGCAAGGGAAACTGTCCCGCCGGGCCCAGCTCCGCTCAGTCTGAGACGAGGCCAGAACCTGGACACACTTCGGCTACACGCAAGAGTGACCCTAGGCAAGCGTGACCTTTGGTGCGCGGCGTAACCCGAGGCGCGGGGGTGCCAAACCCGAGCGCGGAAGCCGCCGCTACCGCATCGCATGCAGCCATCTGGGGGCTCCAGTGTGCCCGCACCAAAGGTCACTCCGGCGAAAGGTCACTTTTACGAGTAGCCGAACCATCGGACCCGGAAAGCATCCGGAATTCCGAAAACCCGGCGGTTCTAAAAAATTCCTCGGGCGCCGCGGCCGTCCCAGAGCGCTCCAGAACGCTCTGCGAGCGCTCCAGAACGATTTCGTCCTGGTCCTGGGCCCGATCAAAGATCGGCTCAGAGTCGGTCGAGGGAGGGAGGGAGGGAGGGAGGGAGGGAGGGAGGGAGGGAGGGAGGGAGGGAGGAGGAGGAGGAGGAGGAGGGAGGAGGAGGAGGAGGAGGAGGAGGAGGAGGAGGAGGAGGAGGGAGGAGGGAAGGAGGAGGAGGAGGAGGAGGAGGAGGAGGGAGGAGGAGGAGGAGGAGGAGGAGGAGGAGGAGGAAGGAGGAAGGAGGAGGAGGAGGAGAGGAGGAGGAGACGGAGGAGGAGCAGGAGGAGGAGGAGGAGCGAGGAGGAGGAAGAGGAGGAGGAAGGAGGGGAAGAGGAAGAGAGGAGGAGGAGGCGGAGGAGCGAGGAGGAGGAGGAGAAGAGGAGGAGGAGCGAGGAGGCGGAGGAAGAGGAGGAGGAGCGAGGAGGAGGAGGAGGAGGAGGAGGAGGAGGAGAGGAGCGAGGAGGAGGAGGAGGAGGAGCAGGAGGAGGAGGAGGAGGAGGAGGAGGAGGAGGAGGAGACGGAGGAGGCGGCGGCGGCGGAGCGATATCGGGCCGAATGTCTCGAGTGCCAAGAGACCACATGCGTGAAAAGCGTGCTGCATTCAGCTATGTGCGACCAATCGTGCGACTTGAAAGTCGAATCATGGATGGTCCCCCCGGCGGGGGAGCCCCGAGTTGTCCTCGCTCGACCACAGCTACGAGGCCACGGAGGTGGAACGAATTAAGGTGTCAAACAAACAGGCATGCGAGGAATGCAACGTACGGGATTCAGCGAACGCGCGGGCCAGAAGAGAGGGAGGAACGCAGAGGAAGGGACAACTGCAGACTTCCACACTGGCTCATGGCGGGATCTTCTCCGCGCCTGCGGAGAGGCCGGGCTCACTCACTACAACAGAGATCACTTCCTCTCCAGCGACCAACGGCAATCGGTAAAGCCCAGGACGACGCGATGACCATCCCGACACCAGCCCACAGCGGCGAAGCATGCAAGTCAGAGAGCGTGAATACGACGAACGCGAACAGGAATGGGGAGGGGAGAGATCGAGAGATGGACGAGCCATGGCTTCAACAGGATCACGGCGTTCTCCTTGGCACTGTCGGCATATGCAGAAGCGGCCAACAGCCTCGAAAGACTGCCCGCAGACACAGAACGCCCTCCGTGCAGAACTCGGCATATTCAGAAGACGGCCACCAGCCCCGAGGACTGCCCGCAGACACAGCACGCCATCCGAGAAGAAGTCGGCATATGCAAGACGAGAGCGGCCACCAACCTCGAAAGGCTGCCCGCGGAAAGACGACGCCGTCCGTGAAGAAGTCGTCATATGCGGACACAGAGCGGCCAACAGCCCTGGAAGGCTGCCCGCGGACACGCGACGCCATCCGTGCAGAGGTCGGCACGTGCAAGAGACGGCCGACAGCCTCGAACGGCTCCCCGCGGACACACGACGCCATCCACGAACTCGACATATGCAAGAAGCGGCCAACAGCCTCGGAGGGCTGCCCGCAGACACAAGACGCCAGCGGTGACGAAGTCGGCATATGCAAGAGGCGGCCAACAGCCCCGACAGGCTGCCCGCGAACACAAAACGCCATCCATGCAGAACTCGACATATGCAAGAAGCGGCCCCCATCCTCGAGACGCTGCCCGCGGACACAAGACGCCCTCCGTGCGAAGGTCGGCATATGCAAGAAGCGGCCAACAGCCTCGAAAGGCTGCCCGCGGACACAAGACGCCATCCGCGAGGACTTCGACATATGCAAGAAGCGGCCAACAGCCTCCAAAAGCTGCCCGAGAACACAGGACGTCATCCTTGACGAAGTCGGCGTATGCAAGACGCCAGAAGCGGCCAGCAGCCTCCCAAGGCTGCCCGCGACCACAAGATGCCATCCGCGAGGAACTCGACATATGCAAGAAGCGGCCAACAACCTCCAAAGGCTGCCCAAAGACACAAGACGCCCTCCGTGCAGAGGTCGGCATAGAGCGGCCAGCAGCCTCGAAAGGCTGCCCTCGGACACAAGACGCCATCCGTGAAGAGGTCGGTATATGCGAGAAGCGGCCAACAGCCTCGAAAGGCTGCCCGCGGACACAAGACGCTGGCTCCGACCCCATGTCAGGCGCACGAGAACAGCTGCAAGAAGTGGTGGCCAGGCCGATGAGCACGAGACTGCCCGCGAAGACAAGGCGCCATCCGTGGAGAAGTCGGCGCTAGAGGGAAGAGAACCACGCTTGATATTGACACATACTCCACAGTGTAGGTTTCCACTTGCGGCGACATGCATGTAGCCTCGCCGTTGCCTCCAGTCACACGCATCCAAAGAAACAATAATGCCATCGGAGACATGCGAAATGGCGGCGGGCGACGCGGGGGGGACCATCGCCCGCTGTCGAGTACGGTTCGCGGACGTGCGCTCATGCCGGCCCCTGATGGCAGCTTTCCTAAGCAGGGGGGGCTAGACGGAGGAGGAGGAGGAGGAGGAGGAGGAGGAGGAGGAGGAGGAGGAGGAGGAGGAGGAGGAGGAGGAGGAGCGAGGAGGAGCGAGGAGGAGCGGGAGTAGGAGGATGAGCGAGGAGGCGGAGGAGAAGGAGGAGGAGGAGAAGGAGTGGGAGGAGGAGGAGGAGGAGGAGGAGGAGGAGGAGGATGAGCGAGGAGGAGGAGGAGGAGGAAAAGGAGGAGTTGGAGGAGGAGGAGGAGGAGCTGAGTAGGCGGATGAACGAGGAGGAGGAGAGGCCAGGGGATTGTGGAGTCCCTGTTGGTTTCAGACGATTGTTTACGATATTTCACGTTGCTCCTCATCATTATTCTGAGATTTCCTCTCTCGCTTTCTCTCTCTTTCTCTCTCAATCTCTCCCACTCCCATTCCCATTCCCATTCCCAATACCATTACCATTCCCATCCCCATTCCCATTCCCTTTCACATTACCATTACCATTACCATTACCATTACCTTTACCTTTATCGTTACCTCTACCTTTACCATTACCACTACCATGGCCATTACAATTGCCATTGTCATTGCCGTTGCCATTCCCATTCCCATTCCCATTGCCATTGCCATTACCAGAGCCGTTGCCATTGCCATTGTATTGCCATTGCCAGTCGCCACCCCGTTACCATTACCATTACCATTACTATTACCATTACCATTACCATTACCAGTACCATTACCACTGTCATTACCATTGCCATTGCCATTCCCATTACCATTAGCCACTACCATTACCATTGCCATTACCATTAGCATTACCAACACCATTGCCATTGCCATTGCCATTGCCATTGCCATTACCATTACCATTACCATTACCATTACCATTATCATTACCATTACCATTACCATTACCATTACCATTACCATTACCATTACCATTACAAATACCATTACCGCTGCCATTACCATTACCATTGCCTTTCCCATCATCATTGCCATTACCATTACCGTTACCAGTACCATGTCCATTACCATTACCATTACCATTACCATTATCACTACCACTACAACTCCCATTTCCATTCCCGTTCCAATTACCACTACGATTCCCAGTCCCATTCCCATGCCCATTCCCATTCTCATCCCCATTACCATTACCATTACCATGACCTTGGCCATTACCATTACCATTGCCATTGCCATGGCTATTGCCATTGCCATTGCCATTGCCGTTGCCATTCCCATTGCCATTGCCATTGCCATTACCATTACCATTACCGTTGCCATCGCCATTGTCATAGCCATTGCCAATCGCTACCCCGTTACCGTTGCCATAACCATTACCATTACCGTTACCGTCACCATTCCCATTCCCATTCCCATTACCATTAGCCCTGTCATTGCCATTACCATGGCCATGGCCATTGCCATTGCCATTCGCCACTACCATTACCATTGCCATTCGTCACTACCATTGCCATTGCCAGTACCATTACCATTTCGATTCACATTCCCATTCCCAATACCATTACCATTACCATTACCACTGTCATTGCCATTGCCATTACCATTACCATTACCATTACCTTTACCTCTACCTTTACCTTTACCCTTACCCTTACCATTCCCATTTCCGTTACCACTACCACTGCCATTTCCATTCCCGTTCCCATTCCCATTCACATTACCATTACCATTACCATTACCATTGCCATTGCCAGTGCCATGGCCATTACCATTGCCATTGCCATTCCCATTGCCATTGCCATTGCCATTACTATTACCGTTGCCATTGTCATTGCCATTGCCAGTGCCAGTCGCTACCCCGTTACCACTATCATTACCGTTACCATTACCAGTACCATTAATATTACCTCTGGCATTACCATTACCATTCGCACTGTCATTGCCATTGCCATTCGCCACTGCCATTACCATTGCCAGTACCATTTCCATTGCCATTACCATTCCCATGACCATTACCATTACCATTACCATTATCATTTCCATTATCATTACCATTACCATTACCTTTACCTCTACCTCTACCTTTACCCTTACCCTTATCATTCCCATTTCCGTTACCACTACCACTACCACTTCCATTCCCGTTCCCGTTCCCATTCCCATTCCCATTCACATTCTCATTCCCGTTCCCATTCCCACTAC